ATAAATAAAACAACAGGGTTGAGTCATTACACCAAGCAAAAACATCAGACATAAAAGAATATATATTATTCCAGCTATATCAAGCTCTACTAAAACAGGCAAAATTGGACTGTGATGACAGAAACCAGCTTAGTAGTTACGTAGAGTTTGGCAAAGGACCAACTACAAAAGAACTCAAGGGAACTTTCTGGAGTGATGAAAATTCTCTGTACTTTGATTGGAGAGACAGCTAAGTTTGCCAACACTCACAGAACCTCACACTTCAGATGTATGCATCATGGTACAGAAATTAAATTCTGATTACAAAAGAAGCAAGGTTAGCAATGGATGGATGTATGGATTGTGATAAGAGCTGTAAGAGTCCCCAATAAAATAATTTTTTAAAACATTTGAACAACCCTTAAAGGTATTTAGAGCTCTTACATTTTATGAAAATAAAATGTACATGCCACTAATGGAGATAAAAATGGGGAAATCTGCAAAAGACCTTTTTTGAGCGCGTTAGCAGAGGAAAGACGTCACACTGAGGACGAGGTATGCCTGACAGCATGGTGTTTTCAACGGGCCTCTGACAGGCGAAAGCCGGACAACGAATCAGGAAGACCAGAGAAGCAGAGGTGACGGCCTTAAGTGTTGATGTTGGTGAAGAATACTGAGTGTTCCAAGGACTCCAGAAGAGGGAGCACAGCAATCTTGGGAGAAACGCGCCAGAATACTCCTTAGAAGCAAACTACTGTCTGACCGCCTTTGGAATCCATAGGGCCCAATCCTGGAGAAAGACATCATGCGTGGTAGAGCAGAAGGTTGGAGTCAAGCAGGAAGACCCTCAGCAGCTGGATCGCACGGTGGCTGCCACCATGCACACAAGCAGTCATGCTGGTGAGGGTGGTGTGGGAGCTGCCCGTGACGTGCTCTGTGTGTTGCACGCTGGAACCAAATAGAGGGCACCTACCGCCAATAGCAACACTGAAAACAGAACATTCAGGTGTGGCGGTGACCATGTCCACATCATTGGCATTTGATAGTTGAGGGTTATGGGGTCAGCAATGATGACACCATGGAATGTGGAAATATGTATCTCTCAAGGTGCTGATTAAACATAAGATTTAGTTCCTAATCACAGTGATTATCAGTCATCATCTTAATTGCCACATTTATAGAGATGATGCACTTTCCTGGGGTATTGAAGATGTTGCTAAGATCATTCTAATTTCCTGTATGTAATGAAGATCATATACGTAATGAAGATCCTGGTGTATCTCTGGACCTGGAATCTTGGCTTATTGAGTTACTTTTTTTTTTTTCAAGTTCATTAAAACAAAAATGTTGAAGAAATGTTATAAAGAAGGACATCGGTTTGAGAAGGACACAGCTAATTAACATCTTTAAAAGAAATATTCTTTTTTCCAAGTATATTTGCATATTTATTGCCATCATTCTCAAAATATTTGCTTTCCACTTGAGTCCTTGGCATCAGCTCACTTTTCTCCCTCCCTCCCCGTCTCCCCCCTCCCTCATGAACCCTTGATAATTTATAAATTATTATTTTGTCATATCCTACACCATCCGATGTCTCCTGTCAACCGCTTTTCTGCTGTCCATCCCCTAGGGAGGAGGTTATATGCACATCCTTGCAATCAGTTCGCCCTATCCACCCCACCCTCTTTCCACCCTCCCGGTATCGCCACTCTCACCACTGGTCCTGAAGGGATCATTCGCCCTGGATACCCTGTGTTTACAGTTCCTATCTGTACCAGTGTACATCCTCTGGTCTAGCCAGATTTGTAAGGTAGAATTGGGATCATGATAGTGGGGGTGGGGGTAGGAAGCATTTAGGAACTAGAGGAAAGTTGTATGTTTCATCTTTGCTACATTGCACCCTGACTGGCTCGTCTCCTCCTCCCTGCGACCCTTCTGTAAGGGATGTCCAGCTGCCTACAGACAACTGGACAGATGGGTCTACAGATGGATACAGATGGGTCTTGGGTCCCCAATCTGTACTCCCCCTCATTCACAATGGTAAGATCTTTTGTTCTGATGATGCCTGATACCTGCTCCCTTGGGCACCTCGCGATCACACAGGCTGGTGTGCTTCTTCATGTGGGCTTTGTTGCTGCTGAGCTAGATGGCAGCTTGTTTACCTTCAAGTCTTTAAGAACCCAGACGCTACACCTATTGATAGCTGGGCACCATCAGCTTTCTTCACCACATTTGCCTATGCACCCATTTGTCTTCAGTGACTGTATCAGGAAGGTGGGCACACAATGATATGATTTTTTGTTCTTTGATGCCTGATAACTCATTCTTAAAGACAATCTGAAGAGTTTTTTTTTTTTTAAGGAATTGTCAAGGGTAAAAAAACATACCTTATTTAATAAAAGGTACTTGGTCTATTCAAATATTTAACTGACATTCAGTGGCAGAATGTCTAAATTTCTGGGCACTTCTTTGAGCCCTAAAAAGACAAAGCCTCATAACAGGAGGGGACAGTCACATCGCATGCACTTGAGGAAAATTTCATGCTTTTATAATGAGGAATTTCAAAGGCATCACAGTAAACATTTTTTGAAAAAAATTTGAATGGGTTCTTTATCAATTCCGGATCTCATATTATAAAATGTGAAAGCTCTATTTTGTGGTTTTATGAACAAAATAAATCCGCAACAAATAATTTTATCACATTTTTATTGCAGTAATGTTGGGAGGAATCTTTACCTGTGTACCTGTCATATAATAAATGTCCAATGCACAGTTGAATTATTGCTTGTTTGTTTTTTTAAAAAAGCAAGCTTAGCAGATATAAGGAGCCAATGTGGAGCTAGGCCAATATAACCTAATACTTGAACAACTGGAGGGAGGGGTAAAAATGAGGAGCTGGTACAAGGGCTCAAGTAGAAAGAAAATGCTTTGAGAACGAAGATGGCAACAAATGTACAAATGTGCTTGACACAATGGATGGATGGATTGTGCTAAGAGTTGTAAGAAGCCTCGATAAAATGATTAAAAAAAACAAACACTTGAAAACCTTCCAAGTTTAAGCTACACATAAGAAAGAATTTCAAGTAAAAAATTATTTTAATTACTAAATCTTCAGCAAGAGGAGCCCTGGGGGTGCAGTGGTTACATGCTGGGCTGCTAAGTGCAAGGTCAGCAGTTTTAAACCACCAGCTGATGATCAGGAAAGAGATGGGGCTTTGAACTCCTGTAAAGATCGTCTCAGAAACTTAGGGGAACACGCTACCCTGTCCCATAAGGTCCTAAGACTGGATGACAGTGTGTTTTTGTTTTTGTTTGGCAAGACACTGTTGTCACTAGTCTATAGCTGATTAGAATACAAGGGGCCAGTAATATTAACTTTAAAATTGTCTCTGGTTTTAATTAATACGGCTTTATTTTATTCAAAGTTGGTCAATGAAATAAAATATTTTTCTGGTTTGTAAAAAGGCCTGAGAGGTGTGGGCAGACCGTGTTTTCCTGTATTTATGGCCAAGTGGCTTCTTCTAGGCTCAGAAGACTTTCATTTACCCTAGCTGGAAAAGTAATCAGTTGTATGCTTAAAAACTACCACCACCAAGGGGCCAAACCTCGAAACGGGTTATTATAGTTCAAAGTGACCGGTTGGTCAACGAACAGAGTACTTAGACCAAGACTGGTGGCAGTGAAACCCACCAACCAGTTACACGGAATGGCTTTACACTTTGAAGAGTTTTCTAACGATAATCAGGATAAGAAGAAATAGCTAATGATTCAAATGACATTTTTGTATTGTCAATAAACAGGTTCTCATAACTAATGGATATTAAACTTCCTTGAATCGGGAAACAAAACAGTTGCTATTTGGTTGATTCTGACACCTGGGGACCCTCTGTCTGCTCCACAGGGCTTTAACTGTGTTCCACAGGGGTTTCTGGGAGGAGGACCCCATGCCTTTCTTCTACAACATCCCCGGATGGAGGAAACCGCTCATCTTGTAGTTAATAGCAGAACTTGCAAACCACTTACACACCTGGGAGCCCAGCTGTTTATCCTTAAAGGTCACAAATATTACAAGGTGAAGACCAGAACTCCCTTGCAACAATTTGTGCCAAAAACACACAAAGCTTATAAACACTATCCAATTCAAGAACTTTTGGGTGGTTGGATCTTTACTTGCAACAGTCTTTGTGTCACAGCAAATAGATTAAACATCCTTTTCCTATTCCAATAGTAAAAATATTTTCACTTCCCTGAAATGGCAAAGTGGTTACATGTTGGGCTGCAACCCTCAAGGTCAGCAGTTTAAAACCTCCAGCTGCTCCTTGGAAGAAGGATGGAGCTCTCTACTCCTGTAAAGAGTTACAGTCTCCCGTAAAGAGGCAGTTCTATCCTGTCCTTTAAGGATGCTATGAGTAGCAATGGACTCAACAGTGAGTCTGGGTGATTGTTATTGATTCTTAAACATGTAGACAGCCCCTAGTAGTCCTGGTGGTGCACTGGTTAAGCGCTGGTCTGCGATCTGCATGGTCGGCAGTATGAAACCATCAGCCGCTCTGGGGAGAGAGACTGGGATTTCTATTCCCGTAAATAGTTACCGTCTTGGAAACTCACAACAGGGGAGATGCTTTGAGTCAGCAATGACTCGATAGCGGTGGGTTTGGTTTGGGAGTTTGTAGACCCTGGGGTTTCGTTTGGGTGTCTCTAGCTCTGAGAAGATAAGAAACCACTTGTTTAAAAGGGCAGGCAAGTCAACTAATACTTGGAGGAAACGAATGAAAAATTCTGAGACTGTGGAACCAGGCACAACAGGTCAATCTTCTCTGTGTAAGTAGAGAATCTGGTTAGGAGAGGTATGTTTCAGTCTCTAAGAAACATGCAAATTAAAATCTTAGAGGAACATTCAGAGTTACACTGTTTTGCATCAAAGTAAAACATGCAATTTCTTACGACTTCATGAAGAAGAGATGGCATGTGAAATATAACCGGAAAGGGATTTTCTCTATATATTTAAGAGCATTTCTTACCTTTTTTGATACAGATGGTTTTACTTTCTTGAAAGCTTCTTCGAAATGTTTAAGACAAATCTTGAGTTCACCTGTGGAACATATACATATAATATAAAAACCCTGCTAAGTCTACTGATTGTGATTTAGAAGAACTCCTGTGGCTTTTGACGGCTGTTAAATCTTTTCGGGAGCTGAAAGTGTCGTATTTCTCGTGCAAAGCAGCTGGTGGGCTCAACTAGCGGACCTGTGATGAGCAGTCAGATATACTCCCTGGGCCTTTTTAAAGATAACACATTGGAACTGCCTGCGCTTCAATGCCTAATAAAGGTGAAGTGATGCTTGGGAAAATTCAAAGTTCACGTAATCTGCACTGTTCAAATATTACATGGTGTCATTTAATCCATCGACAGGTATAAACGCCCTAAAATACTTAATACGACAGTGACTACTTTAAATAAAGCCAGCATGCACTTCCTCTATCTCAAACTAGCTAACACTACATTAAAATATCCTGGCTTTTTATGGGCGAGAAGAATGAACAGTAGTCTAGAAACTAGAGCTCTAAAGGGGAAAAGTGGTGCCATTTTTGGAATCAGCAGGTGAAATATACCTGGAAATATGTCTAACATTTGAGGCACCAAGACACGTGTGGGTCCGTACAGATTTAGAGGACAGGGTGAGTCTTTTTGAAGACAGGTATTCTATACTTAACACAGAAGAGACATGGTTTCAGAGACCAGGCAAAGAAAACACAAGATTGGAATTCAGGTAACAACTGAATCTTTTTGTCTACACAACCCAAACAGTAAACATAAAAACACTATTAAATGTGCAGGACAGTGCAAAGGATGGCTCCAGACTGACATACGATGAAAAACATGGATTCTGTATTTGGAAAGGGAAGCTGCAACATAATGGGAAATCACTACAATTTTCACTCCTTGTGCCTACGTTTTCTATTTAAACTGTGTTTTAACAGGCAGGTGGATACCACCTCAGCAAACAAATGAGGCGGCTTCCCTGAAATGGAAGCCCATACACTATAAAAACTGGACGTGAAGATAAGCAAGGGAGGCACTGGAGCTTTGCTGAGAGCTGTCAGCCCTGAGGTTACACAGCAGTATCATTACGTGATACCAGAACTGCTTCTAAAGGTCTCATCAGAGAAAGGCAGCTATATTATAATAGAAAATAACTGTTAGAAAATGGCACGCTCTGGCCATTTTCCAGGGTTTGAAGCATCCAGAGTGGCCATTTGAACGGGAGAACGCTACAAGAATCACACCTTTTTCTTTCCCCATCTCCTGGTTTGCCAGGTCCTGTCTCAGGGCACAGAGAGAAGCTTCCCGCACCAGAGCAGAGAGATCTGCACCCCTGCAATGCAATGAGAGAAGACAGTGTTCTTATTATTCCCAGACACTGACAAAGAGCAGGAAGACGTTTGCTGACAATGTCCTAATAATGGGCGTATTACAAAGCTAGAGATGAAACGGAACAATATGTATAGGATAAACTTAATAACAAGCGGGAAACAACTTTTACTTAAAATATTTAACTGAATTTTTAGAAGAAAAGAAATAATGGAGGAAACAAAACCAATGAATCACAAATATTCCCATTTCCTTAGCTACAGAGGCAGGGTAGAATTCGGATCATGACAGTAGGTGGGTGGGTGGGGGGAACATTTAGGAACTAGAACTAGAGGAAAGTTGTATTTTTCATCATTGCTACATCGCACCCTGACTGGCTTGTCTCGGAGACTCCCCAAGACCCTCTGCAAGGGGATCTCCAGTGGCCTACAAATGGGCTTTGGGTCTCCACCTGGCGCTCCCCCCTCATTTACTATGGTAAGATTTTTTTGTTCTGATAATGCCTGATACCTGATCCGTTCGACACCTCGTGATCACACAGTCTGGTGTGCTGCTTCCATGTGGGCTTTGTTGCTTCTGAGCTAGACGGCTACTTGTTTACCTTCAAGCCTTTAAGACCCCAGACGCTATACCTATTGATAGCTGGGCACCATCAGCTTTCTTGGCCAGAGAGAAACTCTTAAGGATTACTTTTAAACTTTAAAATATATTTTTAAATTTTTATTATTTTTAAAATATTTTAAAAGTTTACTGTAATATTTTCATTTTCCATGACTGTGTGAAAAGCGCCCTAGTGGCACAGTGGTAACTCAATGACCGGCTGATTTCAAGGTCAACAGTTTGAAATCACCAAATTGCCCGGAAGGAGAAACATGGGGCTTTCGATTCCCATAAAGAGTTAAGAGTCTTGGAAACTCACAGGGCAGATCTAGCCTGTCTTATAGGGTCAGTACCCGTTGCCATCAAATGTGAGATGTGAAAGAGCTGACTGGAATGCTCATCTATCACCTAATGTTGAAATAAGGTTATATGAAAAAGTCATTTATGGCTCCAAGTTTATAAAGGGAAAAGACCAGAAAGTCTTTGATGAACTTGATTTGAGCTCAAGTTGAGTGGACAGAATAAACCAAACCTAACTGACTGCCATGGAGTCAACACTGACTGACACTGAGCGACCCAGTGGACACCCACAAGTCTTCACTTGGCCACACAGCACGACATGGAATCCACGTTGCTGTGGGCTTAGGGAAAGACCCTGGTGCTGACTGGGGTGTCGCTGCCTTATAAGCTTCACAGGACTCATAAGGACTCTGAGAAAAAGTTTGAATTTGAGGAGAAAAGCCTCATTTCACTACATTAAATGTGCTTATTACACGAGGCTGACAATCTATGTAACATATAAAACACAGATTCACAGAGCTTACATTATTAACCAAATCCAATGCTTGTTTTGGTTAAGTGCTGGTATTGTAAAAACTGTTTAATGATAAGGTATGTATTCAGGTATTCCTCTCTCAACATTAAACCTTACCCCTGGCACAGAGACAATATACACTAATGTAGACAGAGACAATATACACTAATGTAGGCAGAGACAATATACACTAATGTAGACAGAGACAATATACACTAA